AGTATCTTACCATTATTTATTATCTGTATTTGACTATACTGTTCTGGGTTTTAGCCTGAGCCTGACATAGGGAGATACTGCAAGCCACTCACAGCTCAGAAATCTTGTAGAAGGTGGCCATGAGATTTATGGCTGATTTTAGCCGAAGAATAAGTTTAAGTACTTAGTTCAGCAGCAACAGTTGTACAGTAGGCACTGTGGTTTGGTATGTAAGAAGCAGACACTGCTCTTGAGACCAGATTCCAAGGTAGCCTTTGGCAAAATGAGGAACAAGTTTTACAAACAGATGGATTCATCTGACAGATGCATGCTCCCCCTAGGACAAGGGGCAAGAAGGCGAAGGAGTAATTTTTACTGGATTGTAAAATTTTCCTTTGATGTTTGGAAAGTCACTTTAAATTGTTTGAATAGTGTTAATGAATGCATCTCTTGTTGTCGTACTTTGCGGTCATCATCATGGATTTAACTGGAGTTTATATATATAAATACCAAAGAAAGCTGAATCTTTGCTTCTCCTTCTAGCTTCTGTGATATCTGAAGTAGTTCAGTACAACATTCTTCTCTGCATTCCTATGGTGCTTTGAAAATGCAAAGTGCCATTAAGTGCTATCTTTTTTTAATGATGAGCCATATTATGGCAAACTTTCTTAGCCTGAACCTCTATTTAACTATTTTGCTCCTTGCAATCATGGCCTTTGAACAATACTTTGTAAACCTATTGCCAGCTAGTAACTAATGCTGACTGCTCTCCATCTTCACCAAAGGCTGGTCTAGTGCAGTTGTATTCTTGCTCAACATCTTTTAAAAACAAAGCAGTGAAAGCACATCGAGATTTCTCTCTGACCCAACTGGCATAGACTCAAGGTGATGGTATCTTTTGTGTATTATTTTAACTGCTTTAGATAGAAGCAATTTCACTGAAACCCGTGGCGCACAGCCAGGGCAAGTAAAGCGTACTCAGGTCAAAGGCAGACTTACGTATTTTTGGAAAAGAGGAAGAATGCTCCTTACTACAGCACCACCCAAAGCAATATGCAGAGCTGAGAGCCCCAGCTGTCCAGAGTAGGATGTGGGCACTTACAACTCATGCCCTCTTGTCATTCATCCACTTTGGAGAAGTTTGACTTTAATCACTGTTGCTTTTAAAAAAAGTGTACCCTCTTCTATGTAACTATTGAAAATTCTTCAGAAATAAATTCTGAGTGCTTTCACTATTATTTAAGGATAATTTACAGAGATGGCCAAAAATTTGGACTAGTTGTTTTTCTGCTTGGTTGTATCCTGAGGGAAAATTAACCTTTTCTCTCTCAAATTGTCTGCAAAGCTCAAGGAATCAGTTCAGATCTCCCCGTGGCCTTTTCTTTCCTGCTAGTCACTGCATTTTTTACAGGGGTCTGTTTCTAGTCCCACTGTGCCCCCAAATGCGAATGTCCTGAAATTCAGAGAGGTTCAAATCAATGCTGCAATCTGAGCAGATATACGATGTACCTCTGCTGTTATGCTTAATTAACTTAGGACATTCTAGGCTTTCTCTCCAAGTATCAGTCGTCCTTTCTCCCATGGATACTGTGAAGTCCCACAGTGAACCTTGTTGTTATGACCTAATTTTTCTACAAACTGAGAGATTTAATTTGTTCAGATGCCAGGCAAAGGGAACACAAACTTGGAATTCTCCTGGCTATTTTAATTTGGCTGCCTGAGATTTGAAAACATCAATAGAGGAATTATCTTGCTGCCTCTAGATTGTAACTTAATAATTAAAGCATAATTAAAAGGATGATATCCGTTTATTTAGGAAAACTGTGGCCTTTTTGGTGAGTCCACCCTAGAACTTGTGTCCTGCTGAGTTGAGACAGTGGACCATGCATTTTGAAAAATTGTATGTTAAGGAAAATCCAAGATACTTTATATTGAAAGCAGGAGGCTCTCCAAGAACTTTCTATTTTAGTTTGAGTACCCCAAATGCATGATACTGACATAATTTATTCCTTGGCTGTTTGCCTAACTAGCATGTTACAATTCAACCCAAGTGCTGCCTTTCAATGAACAACAGCCATTCTTGACATTCTCAACATTCCCTTGACAAAATGATCATCTGTGAAATTAACCTCTTTCATGCTACTTTTTTCCTCAGCATCCCCTCAGTTAATTGTTAACTAGTAAAATCTCTGCTGGTTCACATAAATGACAGTTTAAATGACTTGGTGTAACACTTCTGTTGTGCTCAAATAACTTAAAAATTTATTTCCCTGTATTTTGTCGGGACGATTCCATTCCTTTTCAATGGCCCACCTTTGTTCAGATCAATTTGCTGACGGGTTTTTTGCACTAGGACTGTAAGACTTAACTACTGTTACTTCCATTTCATACCAAAGACCTAAATGAAGAATTTACGTGTGTTCAGCTTGCTTCTGCTAACAGAAAATAGGAACAAATTAGCAGGGGATGAAATGGAGTATTTCAATTTATGCTCCCTAGTGAAGATGTTGCCAAAATTGTATAATACTAGTGCTTTCAAGGAAACCTGATTAGAGACTGCCCTGGTAAGAGTAGCTGGCAGAAGCACAGCTCAGCCCACGTGTTTGCACAGCATTTGTTACTATGCACATCAATATAAATGGACCAAACTTTGCCCTCTTATCTGTATCTATGCCTCTCAGGAAAAGGGAAAAAAAAGTAATCTGTGAGCAGTATTTGACCCTTGGAGAACTTACACGCACCTGCTTAAGGCCATTTTTCCACATAAAAACACTTTTCAGCAAAATGATTTAGCATGTTTAATGATTTGGCTCAAGTGTCTTTTTGAGTGCTTTATCAAGATACAGAAATCATCAGCTGCTTAATAAATATTGGTTTAAAGTCTGCAAAGGGAACTAACACATGTATTGGAAAGACAAAAATGAAAGCACATTGTCAGACACTAAGCTTTCCTCTTTGCAATGCACTACTGTGTTATTTGGGCTGAAGGACATTTTTCAATGATGTTGGAAACTGCAACACCAATATTATTTCTGACAATAGAGAAGTGTAACAAGGACTGTAATTCGGTCAGTTTTCTGGACTCACACAGAATTTAATGCCGTTAGAGAAAACTACAGAAACAAAACCACTAGCCCCAAATACACAGTAATAGTAATTGGAATTTAGCAATAGTTTTGGGTATGTGCTGAAATGAAAAATCTGGGCTTTGAATTGGTAGGCATTTGACAAGCCAGGATATTAGTAGAATAAATGTTCACTAATGCATAGCAATAAATAGGTTGGAGTTTTAAAAATATCACAACAGAAGTGGAGAAGTTAACAAATGAAAAAATAATTTTTTTAAAGCATTGCCACGTGTCAATATATTGGCTCATTACAAACAACTTAAAATGGTTGTTTTCCAGTGCACAATTAAAAAGCCCTCTTCTGGCACAGCACTGACTATAGTAAGTGCTACCACTAGTGTCCTGTTGATTTACATATCTTTAAAATTTTGAATAGCCCTGCCCAGCTGGATTGTTATGCTTAATTTCCATCAGACTGGGATTCTGTGTTTTGGGGTTTGCTTCCTCTCAATCCACAGCGGCACTGAATCCTCCATGGTCCCCACTGCCCACTCCTTGGGCGTGGAATCTGTCTGCTAACCTGAGATCTCAACGCTCAGAAACCTTCGCTCCCAGGAGCCAGGACCAGCTCCCCCAGGTTTTTCAGTGAAATACAGCATTTCCAAGCGATTCAAAGTTAGAGCAAACACTCTGGTTTGAAAAAAACACCACCAGGCTTTGATAGTCTCCTTTGTGTAAGTTTTGAGTGATACATAACATAGTCCTAATAGCAAATTGCTGACTCCATACCCACTGAGATTTTCTGTGATTTATCAGTTTCATAACCTCAGCCACAATTCATATGATGTACTACAAAGATCCCTGAGCAGTATTCAACAGATTAATTTTCCCTTTCATCCTCATAGCCACCCCTTGCATTTGTTGTTCTTCCTTCCTATAACTAGGAAAAAACCCTCATCTTGTGACCAGCTGAAGACAATCTGAAGCTTTGAAGTTTAAATATGTAATTGATAAAAATTATATAACCTGAGACAATTTGTAGTACTGGATATTTTTTCAAGCACAGGGTCAGCTCAAACTCCCTGTACTTTCACACCGTCTCCACACATTTGCAAGTGCGAAGCTTAGCATGACTTTGGGATCACGAGGGAGGAAAGCCTGGAGCCATGCTTACCCCAACCTGAGGCACATGCTGGGGGCAGGCCAGGGGTGCTGCACCCAATTCGGTTTGCCCCTCCCACTGCCAGGAGGGCACATCAGCCACCAGGCTCATCCCAAGGCACTGCCCCAGCACAGCTTCCGAACAGAACAGATCTGCAGGCAGCTTAACCCTACCGCAGTCTTTCATTGGTGCAGCTGTGTTAAAGGCACTCAACAGTACGCAGCTGATCGCCGGTGCTACTGTATGAACATGGATCTGATTTGAGGAACATACTGAGCTTTACCCCAACCTTTGTCCCATGTCACTAAGGTGTGCAGCTTATGTATCGCAGCTAAAGGCTTAAGTAGTTATCAAATAGCACTGTAGTGTGGTTACCAAAAAGCACTGTTTACCATGACCAACATACTAACAGTAGTTCTACATCAGAGTGCAGGCTCAGCTTTGTCTGCTTGAAATTCTCAGTACCAAGAATATTAAATGAAGCTATTGTTTCCATCTGTAGAAATTGGAAAATAAGAAAAGATAGTTTTTCTTTCACTTTCTTCCCTTAGAAATCTTAACAGCCAGGAGTTAAAGACAGGGCAATATCCAGTCCATCATTACTGACATGAACTACACTTGTATTCTTTGGCTTGTGTAACTGCAGTTACTCTAGTTCACAGGGACGCATTTAGAGATATATGTGTACATGTGATCTACAACTTCCCCTGGGGTATGATTTCTCCTCCAACATAATGTTAGAAGTGTAAAGAGTATGGTTTAATTGCAAGAATAGCTTGAACATCCATAAAGAGAGTTTTAAGCATTCTGCTTTATTATTGCTCCTCTGAGTATCAAGAGAAACATACAATATTTTGATATACGCATTATGATTTGCTCAAACACAAATTGATATAGCTACAACTGAGAACTTTAAATTGGAAACATTTCAGTCATGACAGCTACACTTTATGTAAAATTACTTAGTGCTATGTTTGATATTAAATATCAACAAGTTATATTAGTTTAACAAGTAGAACTACATCACTGTATCTAAAAATATTGCCATAGTAGGACTATTCGCATGGGTTCTGAATAACGATCAGGAGATACTCCTTATCTGCAAAAAGATATAAAAATATTTAGTTAAAATATTTTATCATATTTCCTGATAAATCCTCTTTATTCATCTATTCCTCTCCAACCTTTTATCTGTTTATAAAACATAAGCAAAAGCAATCTCATTTATATAAAAAATATTTAGAAAATGTAAGCACTTTGTACAAAAATCTGAGATTACAGATTAAAAAAAAAAATCTGTGTCATAAAGCTTAAGTATACCATATTAAAACTATTTTAGTAAGCAGTAGATTTGCTTTCAAGAAGCTGTAAAGATATTTAAACAAGATGAAAAAAAGTCACCAGATAAGCACCTGGAAGCTAGCACTTGTAAAATAAAAAACTTTTGACATCTGCAGCCTCCTCTGCAGGTGCAGAGAACTTCTTTCAGTTCACTAACTAGTTTATTCAAAATGAGAACCCCATTTAGACATGAAAAAAACAGAAAAAGATTTGAATAGACTACTACTATGAATAAATTCTAAGCATGCCAGACTTTGCCTACTAATTCTAAAAACCCTGGGAAGTTTTGGAAACAATTCAGCTGGATAGCTATTTAACTTTATCTATTTTAAATGAAACGGTTCTTGAAAGTATCCAGTGAATTTAGAAGGGTCCTATCTGCTTTGGAGAATTAAGAAGCTGCATTCTTGTATTGTCACTTTCATCCAAAAGCAACTTAATATAAATCACAGGTGGTTCATTTGCCACCTTCTATTATAGTAAAGTACAATCAAGCCTTTGAACAACTGATGTCCCTGTTAGAAAAAAGGATCACATCTTATACCACTTATTTTCAGGTCAACATGCTTTAATAGTTAATAGTCAGAAAGTCACCTCTAAGAAATAAGTGAAGGGCAAATGCAAAATAAGAATCAAGTGCATCAGTTGAAATCAGTGAGCAAAAAATATGATTTAAAAAATGCATTAGGTTTATACTCCAAAATAGAAACTAAACTAAAATTTTAATCCTAGTATCAGCTGATGACTAATGTTAACACTTAATGACAGTGCCAGATTTCTTTCACGCATACTGGTGTCATAGCAGCATTATAAATAATTCCAGTGAGACGAGGTAATGCATACCTAGTGCAGTACCTCTGCTCTGCATTTGCTCTGAACTCAGCACCAGAGGATTGCCCCAGCGAAGGCTGTCCACCACCGCAAGCTCAGAGCCAGCTCCACCAGTGCTGATGTTGAGGGGATCCCTGAAGCTCCCTTTCTGTTCCGCACGCCTTCCCTGGGTACTTCTGTCAAAATCCTGCATACCAGTAGTCTCTCAACTAGCTAGAGCACAGATCAGGATCTCAGCCCCAACCAACCACTTCCACTTTGCCTGAATCACCTTGTACTGGTAATTGACCACAGCTCAGCTGGCCTTGTTATCTATTTTAGAGACACAACTAACAAATTAACATGAGTTTGTATTTAACATGAGTGAGAAACAGGTTGCTATATTCCCCTGGTTGTTTTAAGGAAAATAATTATATCACAGTTACTGTGTTGGTGACAGTACTGCTTATCTGTGATGCAAATCCCACCTATGACTAGAAAGTCATAATAACATTCTAAGTAAAAAATAATAAATAAAAAAAAAAAAACCACAACTTTTTTTGCTTCAGTTTGGAGCTAAAATGGATTTGCTGCCTTTAATACTATAGTATATACACACACACTACTTGATATATATATTTGTCCAGTTTTCCTCTGTGAAAACCCACAGAAACCAGAACATTAATCAGTTCTAGGCTTGTTTGGTTGTCTCCAGGCTCGAATACTATAAACTCTGTACTTTAAAATCTCAACACATTTGGTTACATGGTGAATATATGGTTATATTTTCACATACTTGTTTTCGAAATGCATTTTCTATCATAGCCTTATTCGTAAAGAATTAGAAGAAACTTAAAAGACATACAATTCTATTGTTATTTTAATAGAAATATTACCTGGAGCTACCATAATTTCGTGTTTCTTTGATCTGATCCTAAGAAAGGTTAGATCATTCTGAGGATCAATATCTCTCACTGTGCTCCTAGCTTTCATGGTGAGCTGATGAAGAAGACCTGCATACTGGACTGATGTAGAGTTATCAAGAGTTGTTCTTATAGGAATTCCTGCAAACAAATAATTTTCTATTAATCATTCAGTTAAGTTGCGTATTCTTCATATACAGCAGATCATAAAAGAAAAAACAAGGGTTTCATAGTTTTTTTTGTTTTGTAGCAGGAAGGAGTGATGTTGATTTCAGGCATCTATATGCTTTTTAAATTATAATTTATATTAATCACTGGCAATTAAACAGTGCGTTGGTTTACGAAACTTTTGAAAGAGTGAATTGCTGTTTAAGGCTCTTAAATACCTCTCAAATTCCATTCTGCAGTACTTAACCAGTTATGGTGCTTCGTCAGTTTCAACACTGTCACCGAGTTTGTATCTTGGCTGCAAGAATCTAGCCCACGCTTTAACAGTAGCATTTGGCATATGCAGTGCTGGCAATTACACATTCCCAGTGAAATACCAAGAGCAATCAGGGCAGAAGTGGCACGTTTGCATTTGGCAAGCAATATCACCCTTGGAACAATCCCTTTCAATTAGCGGCAAAATATTGACAATTGGTAGTACACAGGGTATTGATCCCAACTATTAAAAATATGGCCACATAAGTCAAGATTAATTTTTGATGATTTAATGAATCACTGTTTATCAATGATTTGTCAAATCATACTTTTTATATTAATAGGCTACCAGGAGACACTGAAAACAGGATTCACAGTAATCCTACAAGTATAAAACTGTTCGGCATTAATAATAAGCTTGCTTCACTAATAAAAAATTTATTTGACCTACTAACAAAGACAATAGATTACAAGCTGGCAAGGCAATTTTCTCTTTACATACATTTGTATTGTGTCTTCTAGATGGGACAGTATAGGAATACAAAAATAGAGTAATATGACTTCAGTTGAAGAGTTCAAATATGAAAGAAGAATTAACATGCAAAAATAATGAATGCCTGGTAAAAAATTAGAAGCAAAGGAGTAAAAGAATAGAACCACCTCAGATATCAGACTGTTCCATAATTTTCTAAGGAAAGTGTTATTTGAATCAGTTCAAATCTGTGCTGTCACTTGAGAAATAATTCTGCATTGGTAGGATATGTAGTGTAGGGAAATGTACAGAATGACCTAGTACATCCTTTGTGTCTAACGTTTATTACACAGAGGTTGAAACTGATGTTTTAATGGAAACAAACAGGTGTTCCCAAGCCCTGCATTAGCATGAGAATATCTATATAATCACAGCATTAAATAGTAAGTCACTTAAAAGCAGCAATGAATCAGTGTCAAGTTTATATGACCTTGTATCTGAATGATTGCTTCAACAAATACAGCACTTTTGATGAAAATGGTAAATGTTAAATCATCCTCCAAGGTCTAATAATAACATGAAAATGAGTTGACACTAGTGACATCCTTAAATTAAAGCTGAGCTATGCTTACTTTAGGACAAATTCTCTTTGCCTCTGCCACCCAAATTAGAGAAAGGCAAATAAATCCTTCATTAGAAATGCTGTAGTGTGATCCTTTTCAACTGTGAAGGATAGCAACAGTTTATGAGATTTTCCAAATAAACAAGGTACACTTAGCATAAAGTATCAATGAACAAATCAACTTTGAGCATTAAAAATAAATGACAGGCAATGTTTGTATCGGGCATCTTTAATTTCCTATTTCACCTGCACACTATTACACCTAAGTGTACCTACACTATTGCAAAAATCTTACAAAAAGACAACTGTTTATGTTAGTGAAGAATGGAAGGTTTCATCTTTTTAGGGAACCTCAACAGCCTAAGAAACCGCACTACTGCAATCAAGTATTTTTACTGTGATTAATTTAGGTTGTACACTTGTTTGAAATGTTTCAGGATAAAGAGAATTAAATTTAATTTTCTACAGAAATATTTCAAGTAATTAGATTGACCAGTGCTAATTATAGATATTTAGAGATGTTACAGAATCTACACGCCTACTTTGAGGTTTAGTTTGTGGGATCTAGCTTCTTGGTACCTTGAATGTATCCTCACAGAGTACAGATTCTCTTGTACTCATATCTGACATCTAAATGATAAACTAAATCCAAAATTCCTGCACTAGTCTTGTCTGTTGGCTTCAGTCTGGCCACATGTCCTACAGGTTTGTGAGGATGAGAAGTTTGAACAGGACATGGAGGGACTTTATACCTTGCTGTGAATAGTGTAATGTGTGAAGAAGGGAAGTGGAATGTTCTTCCTCCTTTGCAAATCAAAACTGAGACAGAAGGAATCCAAAACAGCCTTTTAAAAAGCATGCTATTGTCCTAACTCTGCACATCTATATCTGAGCTTTCCCCTCAGTGCTGTAGAATGGCCACAGGTAAAGATGGACCACAGTAGTATACCCGATTGTGAAAACATGACCAATACTGTGCCAAGTCACCAACTGTTCCAAGTAACAGTGTAAGAAAATGGGGTTATTTTTCTATTACATTACATTGGTGTTTTTGCCTTGAGAAATGTATCAGTCTGCAAGCTCAAAAAGGATCATTTTGTTTACTTAAGTGCTTGATTTTGTTCACTTCTCATCTGCAGCTTAGTCAAAGTGCTCATTGGATCAAGTCACATTTTATTTACTGAAACAGAGTACAGAAATGGCTGAAACAGTACTTGTCCTGAAACCAGACTGCATTTCAGCTTAGTGAACAGCTATATCTAGACATGAGCAGGCACAAAGCAGCTTTTCAGTTCCTATTTGCCACGCTACGCACTTCTCTCTTGATCTGCAACATCTATTCTGTGAACAAAGGCATGTTTTACTTGCCTTTGCATGTCCAGGCACACAAATTGTCCACCTTGTCTAAAGTCTAAATAACATTTAGGCTTCCTTCTGAATGTTCTTTCTACCTGTTGCTAAAGTGCTCCTAGTGCAACAGACTTTGGGGGGATTGTAAAAGTGAAGGAGGTCAATTCAGCAAGTTGTTGTTTTTTGCAAAGCAATGATTAAAACAGATTAACCTGAGAAGCCTGAAAATTTATTTCTGTGACCAGTTCCACTTTTGGCTTGCAATCTTCAGGATTGCAGCTAACGCTGGCCTGACATGAAACTTGTTCTTCTTCCTATGACAACACAGCATAACACAATTTAAAGAACTTGTGAATATTTAGCAGGTCCAAGGAATGGCTCCCACAGTAGAAGACCAACTTTGTTTAGGAGATAGTCTTCTCTTTATGTTTTTGTTCTATTGTAACTTTTCAGAGGAAGGGGGTGGGGTGGGAAGCGCTAGTGAATTTTCTTGCATATACAAAGAATTTTGGGCAAAAAATGCCTGCAAAAGCAACAGCTTAGTGCTGTGCATTCTCTCGTGCTGTAACCTACCAAGAGATGTTCAAGATCTGATTCTGAAAAATATAGTTTAGTTAAACAAGGGGGATAAGTAACATGCAACTCCTTGAGTTAAATGAAGATTATGATACTTCTAGTTATTTCTTTGAAGAAAACTTATGTCAAGGCCTTTGACTTTTCTGCCTATCGTTAACTTGAATGGAAACCTACATCATATGGAGAGCTTCCAGAAATGGCCACAGACCAGACATTCACATCTTAAGAGGAAACTGCACATCCCTGAAAATTTCACCACCTTCATAAAACATTGCGAGTGGATTGCATTAACACCTCATAATCTGCAGTTCTGTGCTTCAGAGTTGCTACACTCATTGTCGCAACCAAGTCTGTCGCTTGGAGAAAGCGGAGGACGTTTTACCTTCGGCGTTTATGATAATGGTTGCGAGCACCCCTCTGTGGGCTTGAATCCTCTTTAGGGTCTCCTCCACTTCGGCCTGTGAGGAGAGAGCACAGCACAGCAGCCGCCACAGCTCCGCCGGGCGCGGGCCCCTGGCAGGAGGTGGCGGGGTCGCCGTGCCTGAAAGCCGCCCCAGGGCTCAGCCCTCCGCTGTCCCCCCGCCGTCCCTGTCCCCTCCCGCCGCCATTACCATGGTCTCGCTGCCACCGCGCCGCCGTTGCTATGGAGCGGCGGAAGTGACGCCGCGGAGCGGCAGCGCGGGCCCAGCGCAGCCCCTCAACGGCCGGGACCCGCGGTGGGGGCCCTGCCCGGGAAGCACCCCGGGGGCTCTGCCTGGGGACCCGCGGCTGTGTCGGCACCCGCTGTGAGGGTCCGTAGGCTGTGCCCGGGCACCCCCAACTTACGCCCTAGGAGTAGCAGCCAAGAGAGGAGCCCCGCGAGAACCTAGAACAAGGGCACCCATAGCATAGCCGGGGGGGCAGCAAGCGCCCGGGTTTAAATGGAGCCCAGGGGACGTGAGGGGAGGCCCCAGGTGGGGCTCGTTCAGGACAGCGAGGGCTTTATAAGTGCTTTCAGGAAGGTTAACGGTCGTTAGTATGATTTCTGCTTTGGGTGATCTTGTGGCTGAGCTCAGTTGATGGACTCTGGCTGGTAGGTGAGGTGAAATAAACTCAAGTTACCATAATTGTTTTAGTAGAGGAGGGTTTTTTGTTTATTTTGAAGATGAGGCTGATAGTGACTAAATCCCAAAGATACTAGTTTAGCTACTGTTTCACATACAGAAATGCTTATTTTTTTTTTCCTCCCTGTGCATAAGCATTGCTTTGCTCTCTGTTTTTCCATAGGTGTTACATACTGTGTGGGTGTGCAGAGCTTGTTTTTCACCAGTAGAAGCTTTCCAGTGTAACTGTACTGTGATCACTATATAGATAGATAAATTGTCTTCAGAAGAAATGTTGTGTGCTTCTATAGCTTGCTACACTTTTCAAGTTAGTGTAGGCTGCTTTTGCAATGCTGTAGTGTAAATAAGTTACATACATGTTTTTATTTTTCTTTATCAAAGTAGTAGAGGAGTAAATGTGAAATGTTTCAAGAGTCATCTTTCTCGGTGCACACAGTAAATAGTACTGATATATTCAAAAGGTCCTTACATGTCTTCCTAAGAGAAGGGGGCTAGTCTTACTGAGTTTTCTTGGTGGTATGTTAAGCTTCTTGGGTTCCTGTTTTTGTGACTTTTAGCTTTTCTGCTCTAAAGAATTGGCAAGTTTACAAAGTTTGGTGCTTTGGGAAGCCAGTGATCCCCCCCCTTTTTTAAATCAGAGAGGTCTTAAGAGCAAATTAACAAGCTAATTATTAATCTGCCCTTCTTTAAGGACCCAACTGTATTTGAAACTTACAACAGTATATCAGCACATAATTTAATGCATTTTATGGCCCTGTGTTGGAGAGAAAATAAATTCAGTGTGTGGGATTGCCCTATCTATTGCAACAATATTATTCTAGGCATTTATTAAGTTTCAGACTGGCAGGGGCCAGCATAAATCAGAAGTGTTGAAGTTTCTGTGTATTCAGATAAGTGTATAGCTGAATTGAAAAACTGGTTTATGGGGGAAGGGAGAAATTTTCAGACATACCAGTATATTTATTTCAAAAGCTACTATTTCAGGTGTTAACCCAATATCCTGTGACACGCTATGGAAGGCAATCAAGAACACTATGCCTGTAGCTGATACTGGTCCCCATGGGTCACTGCATCAGCTGTGTGAATTATGTTTCACTGCTTCACCTGTGAACAGTTTAGCCAGCAGTTAAATTTGCACTAATACACCTGTGTTTTTTTGTTACAGTGAGAAGTATGGTGTTCTAAATTTTTGAAAATGAGATATCTTTAAAGATATTTTTTTTTTTTTTTGAGCAATTGGAAGCATTGGTGCGTGATTGCTGACTTTGACTGCAGCATCTCCTGGGCAATTTTGGTTTAATACAATGAGTAGATGGCTCTTAAGTGAAAACATATAGATTATACACTATAAGCCTGGTCCTACTGTCAGTGTTGGTCACAGGAGGGATCCTTGCTATTACAGTCCAATTAAAGTCAGTACACTTTAATATAACGTACTGTAAGGGATAGTGGTGATCCTACGCCCAGTAACTGGACTGGCAATTCCAGGGATTTAGAAAAATGTAAAGGAGGAGTTTTTCCACTTACTCTGCTGCCCTGTTGCTATTTTTAATTTTCAAGACCACTGTTTTCTTTCATGGATGCAAGATTCCTGTGTGTCTTTTTAAACCCAAATAAAAATACCAGCTCAGCTTTGCAAAAAATACTGAACCGGAGCCAAAAAGACAGATAGCATGATGCAGGATTATTCTTGGAAGCATTATTTATGCTCAGCATGAAAGACTGAAACATGCAGACTTTGAGACAGTCAGATAGTCTTTGTCTCAGTCTTAGACACATAACAACAAATGAAAATATTTTCTTGGTTACTTGAAAGTTAACTGAGAATTCAGATTCCAAGCAACATAATTATTCTTTTGATATACAGTAGCGAATGCAGTATTAGAAACAGTGATACTGCTTGAGAGGCAGAAACTCCTCATAATCTAGGACTGGAGTCTTGCAAATGCTTATCTATGTGAATAAGTTTAAATATTTGCTGATAAAAGTAGCAAGTGAGAAGCTTAAACTTCAGGTGCTTGCACTTTTAGTCTGGTGTTTGAACTAATTTCTGCATTTATAGTTAAGATTGAGGGGTAAAAATTCCAACAGAAAGATGGAAAATACTTAAAACTATTTTTTTTTCCCTCTCCAAGCTATGACCGAAGATGTTATTCTCCACATGGAAACTAGGAAGAGGATTTTGCTTGTAAGTACATGAGAATTTCATTCTTTCCTTGCTGCTTGAACCCAGAGACCCAAGAAGAGGTGGGAAGGAATAAAGCACACTCAGGGACACACTGAGGGACTTGAGCTACACTGAAGTGCTTTAAACAATCTCGATTTGCTGCCATCCATTATGAAATAGCATAATTCAATTCAGGAAGAACTTTGCTTTTTATAGCCAGTAATCTTGATTACAAGTAACTGTAAAGGTCTGCGAGCTATTACAGTAGCTTCCTTGCCCATGCTGTAGGATATCTTCAGAAGTTTTCAGTTTTGTTGGCCTATAAAGTAGCATGAATGCGTCCATGACCAATAGCGATGCTCCTGATGACCGTACAGTTGATTCTTTCATTTTTTCCCTCTAGGCTTTTATTTCTAGCCAAACAGTCTCCAAGGAAATTTGGTAGGAGCAGTTAATGTGGCATAGTAGCTGAAAGCTTAGAGTCCATTCTTAGCACAAAGCCCTTACTAATATCTAAAATAAATGACTGATTATGTGGTCTTGCATGATTCTTTTGACACAGGAATGAGAGAGAAATACATGTCATGTTCAGGTGGACAAAAGTTTGAATTTCCAATGCAGATGCATCACTGTAAATCATGCTACTGGTCAGTCACATATCAAACGATGCATGCAATTGCGTTGGATTGGATTGCCAATCCAATACAGTTTGGATTTATTGCCCACAAACTGTGGAGCAATCACATTGTGAATATTCTCAGTTAATTCTTGGTCTTTCAGACTGAGAGGCTGGATCAGAATTTTGTAGAAACAGCAAGAGTTGAACTTCGCTCCTGAAGCCTTCTGAGAATAGCAAAAGTGTTGTTTTGTAGCAATAGCAGAGTTAAGTTGTGGGGAAGAGTGTGCCAAGCTGAAAGTAGTCAAAGTGAGGTTTGTGGATGGAAAAAATAATGAGTTGGGCTCCAGGGCTGTATCCTGCCTATCTCTTCCTCTTTTTTAGTAGTTCTGCAGTGAGCAATCAGTTGTCAGCAACATCTATGTGTGAAATGTAATAAAATACGTAATCTCTGTTAATCAAATAAAACCCTCTTCCCTTTCCCTAATTGAAATTTGACTTTGGTTTTATTAAGAGAACTCCTTTAAAAAGGTGAAAATTAAGGAAAACCGAGTTGCTTGCAAGGTTATGAACAAAACTGTAGGGAAGGTCCTGCCTTTCTCCACCTGAAAAAGGTCTTGTAGCATGCATGTGACCTAGAGTGGGTCAGATCAAGATCTTTCCCTATCTGACTGTCAATAAAGTTTTATTTGTTCTTACCTTCTGTTACCTTCATGAATCCAAATACTATAAACCAGGAAAGTATTTAAGAAAACTGTATGTCAGATAGGCATGTACAAAACAGTTTTAAAGTTGCTCTATAGATAAATTCTAGAATGAAAATTTACTCAAAATATCTTTTTGTGTAAAGATTTCTTTTTTTCCCACAATTTTTGAGAGCAGTTACCCAGGTGTTTTTTGCTCATTTGTGAGGACTTTCTAGCTCAAATCCTCTAGATGGTGCTACAGCTACAGCACATGGAAGTGAACTCACCGTTAGGTTTTGTCTTGCTTGTTAAAATGCCACTGAAGTCACATATCATACAAAAGGATTCATGACTTCAGTTACGATACTATTTACAGGTTTATGCAAGGAAGAATCAGCATAGGTGGATGACCTGTCCTTAACTAAGTAAGAGTAGATAGGTTTTTTTTATAGATACACAAGCCTTGCAGGAACTGTTGTGTGGTCAAATTATCCCCTCATCTCTTAAAACCATACCTTGAGTGCTGACAAGGGCAGAGGTGGCCAACTGTAGCCTGTGGTGGTGATTAAGTGACAGTAATAAACCTCTTAAAACTCCCAGCAGATGTTGCTGCTTTTGTATGCTAATGGGAACGTCACAAACCATTTTCTCTTCCTTCTGAGAGCAGATGTAAATACATGGAAATTGGTTTCTTATATCAAGAGCAAATTGATAATAACCTTGGTTAAGTTGTAAGGCAGAAGCTGTAGAGGCACTTTATTTGATAATTGCAGAAAGCTTACTCAGAACTTCATAAAAATTATTTTTTTTATATTCTGATAGCTTTTCTGGTACTGAAGTAGTTAAGCAAAATCTGAAGTGTGCTTTGTAAGATGAAGAATGAACTTGACCATCTTTGTAAGACATCTGTCTGTAAAAGGTATTTTCAGACAATAATAAAGGAGTAGCCTGAGCCACAGAACTCCACTTAAAAACTTCATTTCACTTGAGTAATTGTATCCTTTCTGATGTTGACACCTTGCATTTTAGATTCTTTTTGAGGCTGGACAAAATTTGGTCACCATTTTCTAAATAAATAAGGTGCTTT